CTACTAGCCCATGGCTAGAGGCTTTAAATGAGAATATGATTGAAGAGGACTGGGAAATTTTGAAATGCACAATTCCGATGAATGACTTTTCCAATCCTAGTCATTGAGAGGTCCCAGTGGAAGCCCTCGTGGTTATCAGTGGGTATCCCTGGTCTTCAGTGAACATAGAAGATGGGAGGAAGGCATGGTCAGAGGCGCTCTGGTAAAAAGGTGGCACTGTAAAATCGGTCAGCTCCGAGAGACTTGGAAACGAAGTAGTCAGCTGTCTGATGGAGAGTGTGAAGAATGAAGGGTTAGAGTGCAGTGGTAGAAAGAAAGGCGCATTTTCACTTTTTAGATGTTTTCTTTTCCACTATGAATAATGGCTTTATCAGTTTATTATTGTTACTATTGTTATTTGTAATTTTGCCAGCGGGTGTTTGTGCTCACTGAGGCAGACAAACATAGAGGCAGAGGCGGAGGAGGGGGGTGGGAAAGCAGACCACCCCCGTGGGAGATGGGCACACCACAGTCCTGTCTCCACTCTCCCTCCTTTCTGGAGTCTGGTGCAGGCAGATGGATAGGATCCAGGTATTTTAACCATCGCACCATCGGCTGGCGCATGAATAATAGTTTTAAACCAAGAAAGGCGAGAAGGATGGTGGGTCGGAAGCGTGACGTGTCAGGCACCACGCAGGTGCTGTGCACAGGTCGGGTGACTTCCCTGCTGGCAGGAAGCCCGTGGGCCGAGGCTCAGACCCGGGAGCGTGGGCAGTCGAGGGCCCGTGGCACAGCCGCCCTGAGCAGTCTCTGTGCCCACGCCGACGTGCGCACTCTCCTGAGTCAGAGACAGCGCATTCGGCAGATATTGACAGTTACGGTGAGGATTGCGCCCCGGCAGGATTCTTAAATGGGCCTCAGAACTTCATCCGCATCTGAAACGGTGATCGAGGCGTGCAAGCCTGGAAGTATGTGTGCAGGGTGTAAAGGATGTTTAGGGTTTAAAACTGTGTGATTTATATACATTCTGTAATCTTCCTGTAACAAACGTGGCTTATGTATGTTAAAAAGGAAAACAAAACAGGCTAGCTAGTGGCATGGCTGTTAAGGCAGCCGTACCCCACATGGCCAACTACATGGTTTGAGTCCTAGGCCCGGTGGCTTGAAAAACAGGCTGCGCTCCAGTAATGATTGTCCAAAATCTTGAAAGGAGAGATGGAGAAAGGATGCAGCGTGACCGTGACCAGCCCCCTGGTGGGGGGGTGTTCTCACGTTCTCTCTCTCTCTGAGCACTCAGACCCTCTAGCAAATTTAAAAAGACAGACAGACAAGAAAGCAAAGCAGCTAAGGCAGCGTGTGAGTGAGCGGGTGGGAGACCGGCTCTGTAAAGCCCGCACGCTGCCCCTGACCCACGTTCCCTTTGTGGATGCTTACCAAGCTCAGTAGGCAGAAAACGTAGAGCTAGGCCGTCAGCCTTCTCAGTCTCTGAGATGGGCAGCGTCATCTCGGTGTCCCTGTAGACTGTGACCTCAAAATGGGGTCAAAGCTGATAGCTCAGCGTTGGGCCCAGTGAGTGTTAATGGCCGCGTCAGTGAGAGCCCAGAGGGGAATCGCGGTGGCCGGTGTCCTAGGTGCTGTTCTTGGCTCTGACCCATCGAGTAAGGCTCGCTACGACACATGTGCTGTCTTGTAGAGCTGGTGTAGGCTGAAATGGACGGAGCAGATACACTTCGAAGGTGGATTTTAGTAAAGATAAATGTCAGCCCTTGTCCAGAGCTGTGTCTCCCTCCCATTCCAGCTGGCCCTGCTAGTACAGAATTGGGGGAGTTGTTTTACTGTTTCTGGGAAAGAGGTGTAGAATTTCCTTCCTTCCTTCCTCCCTCTTACCCCACATGGCCAACTACATGGTTTGAGTCCTAGGCCCGGTGGCTTGAAAAACAGGCTGCGCTCCAGTAATGATTGTCCAAAATCTTGAAAGGAGAGATGGAGAAAGGATGCAGCGTGACCGTTGACCAGCCCCCTGGTGGGGGGTGTTCTCACGTTCTCTCTCTCTCTGAGCACTCAGACCCTCTAGCAAATTTAAAAAGACAGACAGACAAGAAAGCAAAGCAGCTAAGGCAGCGTGTGAGTGAGCGGGTGGGAGACCGGCTCTGTAAAGCCCGCACGCTGCCCCTGACCCACGTTCCCTTTGTGGATGCTTACCAAGCTCAGTAGGCAGAAAACGTAGAGCTAGGCCGTCAGCCTTCTCAGTCTCTGAGATGGGCAGCGTCATCTCGGTGTCCCTGTAGACTGTGACCTCAAAATGGGGTCAAAGCTGATAGCTCAGCGTTGGGCCCAGTGAGTGTTAATGGCCGCGTCAGTGAGAGCCCAGAGGGGAATCGCGGTGGCCGGTGTCCTAGGTGCTGTTCTTGGCTCTGACCCATCGAGTAAGGCTCGCTACGACACATGTGCTGTCTTGTAGAGCTGGTGTAGGCTGAAATGGACGGAGCAGATACACTTCGAAGGTGGATTTTAGTAAAGATAAATGTCAGCCCTTGTCCAGAGCTGTGTCTCCCTCCCATTCCAGCTGGCCCTGCTAGTACAGAATTGGGGGAGTTGTTTTACTGTTTCTGGGAAAGAGGTGTAGAATTTCCTTCCTTCCTTCCTCCCTCACCCTCTCTCTATCTCTCTTCCCTCCCTCCTATTTTCTTTCTTTCTTCCTTTCCTACAGGGCTTGTGTGCTTACCAGACACAAAGCGAGACAGAGAGAGACAAAGCACTCCTCGGCGGGGGATGTCCGCAGTCCCCACTCCTCCGCTTCTCCACTTGGGGCATGTACACACGTGCCTTGGATGTTTCTCGAACTGCTGGGGCAGGATTCAAACCGTGGTTGGCCACGTGGGATCCAGCTCCTTAACCACCACCCTATAGCCACCCAGAGGGGCCTGTCTAGGATTTTATTTTAACTTACCTGCCGTCTTCGGCACCTATTGAAATATGACTGCTTATTGAAGGCAGTGCAGTCTTTGCATGAACTGTAATACGGCCACGATGCAGGGCAGAATGGCGATTCCAGTACAGCCCTCCTCCTCGGACCATAGCTGCGTATTCGGTCTGGAGGCCTGGAGCCATAATCTGCATAATCAGTGTGACAATATTCATTGTTAGAGTTGAAGAAAAACCTTAGTTTGTAAAACATTGTTATCGCATCATCTCATTTTAATATTTCCAAATAGGGCAGGGAGTATTTTCTCCATTCTGTACAAATGAGAAAATCGAAGCTCTAATGACTTATCTACACTGTGGTCTGCCCACACCACATTCAGTGCTACTGTATTGCTTCTACTTGAAAAAGAAAGCAAACACCTTGCAGAATGCTCTGTTGTCTTTAAAATCTTTTCATGGAACTGTGATTCTCACAGGTAGCGTGAGGAAGGACAGTTGGTTCTGGTGATACCATTTCATGGGACAGTGAAGGCACGTTGGAATTTCCTGATTGAAAAGGAGAGAGAGAAGAGCAAGAGCAAGCGTGAAACACCCTCCAGAGGGTCTGGTCACACTGTAGTCCCCTGCCTCTGGTCATCCAGTGCATTGGATTCTGGGCAATGGCACATGCGCCTCGAGGTGTCTCAGGGCAGGCAGGGGTTCGAACTGTGGTTGCCATGTGGGACCTGGCTTCTCTCTCTAAAGGTTTTTGCTATAGGGCGTGTGGATTCTCTGGAGAGAAAGAGAGAAGGAAGGTGAGAAATCACACCCCAAGGGGCATGGCCACGTCACAGTACCCTTTCCTCCATTCTCCTCTTTGGAGTTGGGTACACACATACCCAGCATGATTTTCAAGCTGCCAGGTTCAGAACTTGAACTGTGCTCGGCCACATGGAAATCCCGTGCCTTAACCGCCATGCCACCTGCTAGCTAGAGATGTGGCTTCTCTGGTGGAGCATTACTGCTAGGCCATGAAGCCAGCCCCGTATGTTTTAAAGATGGGTCTGTGTTTCTTTCTTTCTTTTTGTTTTCTTTTCTTTTCTTTCTTTCTTTTTTTTTTTTTTTGGAGAGGTTTTCGCTATAGGGTGTGTGTGCTCACCAGACAGACAGAGAGAGACATAGAGACAGAAAGCGAGAAATCACCCCCCAGGGGGGATGGCCATGCCACAATCCCTTCTCCTCCATTCTCCTCTCGGGATCTTGGGCACGCACGCACACGCGCCTGGCGTGAGTTTTAAGCCACCAGGTCTGGGACTCGAACCATGATCGACTACGTGGGAGTCCAGCAACATAGCCATTACGCTCACTGCTGGTCCCTCTTTTTTGTTTCCTTAACAGCCAGAGATACACAGTGGGCATGAATTAAGGGATATACTTTGTTGTGAGAGACAGTGAACAAGACGAGAGTGAACACAAACTTAGAAGCAAGAAGACTGAGTTCTATTCCTGGCTTACCGCTGAGTAGTATAAAACCTTAAGTACTTTACTCCATGCCACATTTGTAATGGGGGAGCTGTTTCCTCAAGGGTGTTTTTTTTTTTTTTTTTTTGAGAGGGTTTTGCTATAGGGCCTGCACACTAACCAGAAAGACAGAGAGAGACAGAAGGTGAGAAATCACCCCCCAGGGAAGATGGCCACGCCGCAATCCCTTCTCCTCCTTTCTCCTCCCGGACTTGGGCACGCACACACATGCACATGGGTTTAAGCCACCAGGTCTGGGACTCGAACTGTGGTTGACTACATGGGAGTCCAGCGACGTAGCCATTACGCCAACTGTTGGTCCCAGCCTCAATGGGTCTTATAAGAGTTGTGTAAAGGAGAATGAGGATCAATCTTCTGTCGTACCACCTGACAGGCACAGATCTGTCCAAGGTCAGCTTTGATGCTCAGGAGCAGTTTCCATTAGGGCCAGAAAGACGTGTGTATGTCTGTGTACTCGCATTTGCTCACCGGAGAACTTCCGGTTTTGCTGAAGCAATTTACCTGGTTCAGAATTTCTTCATTCCTCTTATCTCTGAGCAGATGATGGTACATTTCCGTCGCCCTTCCCACTCTTTCATTCCCTTTTCTGTCTTGTAGAGCAAGGCTTAGATCACATAGCAGAAAACATCCTTTCCTACCTGGACGCCAGGTCTCTGTGTGCAGCAGAGCTGGTCTGTAAAGAATGGCAGCGAGTGATCTCGGAGGGAATGCTGTGGAAGAAGCTGATTGAACGCATGGTGCGCACTGATCCTTTATGGAAGGGGCTGTCAGAACGGAGAGGGTGGTAAGTACTTGGTTCACTCGTTCCTTTAGAAAGTGTGTTACTCGACATAGGATCAGCTTAACTGCTCAGAGGCAATTCATACTTGCATGCGTATTGGCCTATTTTAAACAAAGGGAAAGAAGGAGTGGTCGAAAGTTTTTAAAAACTTAAAGCTGTTAGACTTTCTTTCTGAATTGTGTATTTCCTTTATATGTATTAACTGTTAGGAAGTGTCGTACTGTTTGGGTGATTTGGCTTTTCAAAAATAAGTACTTATGCTTTTTCCTTCATACTTTCCTTTTTAAAAAATTTTATTTATTGGGAACCAGCAGTTAGCGTAATGGCTATGTCACTGGACTCCCACGTAGTCGACTGCAATTCATGTCCTGGACCCGGTGGCTTAGAACTCACGCCGGGCTCATGTGCGTGTGTGCCCAAGATCCCGAGAGGAGAATGGAGGAGAAGGGATTGCAGCGTGACCATCCCCCCTGGGGGTGATTTCTCGCTTTCTGTCTCTATGTCTCTCTCTGTCTGTCTGGTGAGCGCATGTGCCCTATAGCGAAAACCTCTCCAAAAGAAAAAAAATTTTTATTTATTATCATAATCTTGTTTAGATTATATTGAATCACATAATTTTATAGTGGACTACATTTATTTTTCCAGAAGGAATACCATGCATATCAGTCAATACAGAGACATTAAACTCCCCATCATCATCCAATAGCTTTTCTTTTTTTCATAGCTTCCTACTTTTCTTAGGGGATGATGCTCTTCCCTAAAGATAGATAAGACAGAAAATATGAGAGGTGCCGTTTTGCTGTTTGCCGTTTTGTTATTGCTCCTGAGTGAGGGTATGGGAAGCACAGGGACAGGGTTTTCAGAGAAAACTCATATCACAGCGCTGCAGCGCTGTGCATGTCGGTGTGGGCCCTATTAGCACAGGGGAGGGCCCTACAGATGGAAGTGCAGGCGCTGGGCGTGAGCGGAGGCGCGTATGGGGGAGAGCGGCATGCGTAAGTTAGCGCTTCTGCACCCGCCACGTCAGCACGTTCTCTTGAACGCTAGGATGAAAGGCTAGGTTATTGTGTTCTGATGCTAAGAAGGCAAAAGGCAGGGGTACCCGACGGCTGGGGACGGAACTGCCTTGTCCCTGAAATGGAGATTTAATTGTCAGAAATCTGAACCTCAAAATGTAAAAGCACAGCGCAAGTTAAAAGACATGAAAGATGTGATATTTTTCTAAGCACTGTGTTTAAATAAAATTTGCCCTTTTATGTACAAAAAATGTAACATCTGTTTGTTTTTATCTGCTAGGGATCAGTACCTGTTTAAGAACAGACCCACAGATGGCCCTCCCAACTCATTTTATAGGTCCTTATACCCAAAGATTATCCAGGACATAGAGGTAACTTTACGATTTATCTGTTTTATGGGCTCTCTGTGTGTTGTTCTCACCTTTTATGTTGCCTTACAGTATTCTTTTGTTCCAAAGTCGTGGAACTGGTCACTCTTTTTCAAACGTGGGGTTTGGGGTAAATGTGTCACAGCGCATAACCTGCAGCTGTTTTTCAGAGTCCATGTCGATGTCTTTTTTTAAAAAAGACACTTAAATTTTTAAAACACAAAATGCTTCTGCAAGGCTGCCAGTTAAATAAAACTTTTGTCACATACCAACTTTTTATTCTAATTTGATAAATTTTTCAAAATCCAAGACCTGTTTTTTTGGTAAGTATAGATTTACATTTTTCACCCATTTCTAGAGAATTAAAGAGGACACATGGTCAGTTTCCTTGTAAATTGCCCATAGTTCTTCATAAAAATAAGTCTGAAATCTTTCGAAGGAATAGTTACATGGGTTTATAGAGCAGATTACACTCTTGGACCATTCTGGATTTGAGTACAACTTCACCAGACCGGTAAAACTCTGTAAACTTGACGAGAAACACTGGAAATGTTTGATACTGTTCGTGTGTCGTAATTAGTTCAGTTTTATTATTGAATCTTTTCCCTTGAACCAGGAAAGACACGCACAGGCATTTCTCATGAACTCTTTCACATGTGTTCTTGGCAGACCTCGGTTACTTCCCTGTTTCCCCTCGGCAGAGCAGTTTAGCTTTCACCAGGCAACGCTGCACCACCATACAGTTCTCAGTCCCCAAATGTGAAGTAATCCTCTCCCCCAGGTGATAGACATAAAAGTTACTGTGCCAAAATTCATTAATGGAGAAACATGTGCTTTGGGGCCCCTCCCTCATTCAGGCAGATGTGAACTAATGGAATCGTTCCCTTAATGGTACATCTGAATGTGACTGGAATATCATTAAAACACAAACCCTTGTCTTGAGTATTCTGCTCTCTAAAGTGACCTATAAAGTAACCTTTTAGGGAGAGGTAAACGATTTACATCTGCCAGACAAAGTGTACGGTTCAGGAGTGAATCAATCCATGGCAGTTCAAGCCTTGGAAGGGGCTGCTCTGCGGTGCAACAGTGACGCACTGCTTAGAAGCCTGACCTCACCTGGTGACCACGGCTCGAATTCCCGGCCCAGTCAGCCCGAGACACTGAGGATGTGCACGCATGCCCAGAATCTTGCGGGCTAGAGAGCGGAAGGAGGCCATGGTGTGACCAGAGCCTGTGGAGGGTGCTCATTTCTCTCTCTGTCCCTTGCCCTCTCTCCCCTTCCTGCTTCTCTCTCTGTCTCGTGTGCGCAGTCAGGAGTAAAGAACAAACAGAGTAGACTGCCCCTATAGGGTAGTCTTAGCAGCTGAGACACAGTGGCAGCTCTGATCTTAGGTCAGGAAAGAGGGCTCCACCCCTAGATAGGTGCGTTCAGACGCTGCTTGTGTACGCATCTTAAAAACTACCGGTCACTGCCTTCTGGTTTTTGTTGTTTTTTTATTTGCTCTGTTGCACGTTTGTGGGGTGAACTATTTTGAAGTACCTCCATGTTTTTGTGAATAATTTTGTCAAGTTGTCTATTCTGAGAAGTTCAATGTTTAAAGCCAGTCATTAAAAACAGCACTCTGGAGACCCTTGACTGGGTTGAAGACTTGGTGCTATAGGGTTTTATTTATTTATTATCATCATAATCTTGTTTATATTACATTGAATCACATATAACTTTACAGCATATTACATTTCTTTTTCCAGAAAGAATACCATGTATATCAGTCAATACAGAGACATTAAAGCCCCCATTTGGTGCTGTAGGGTATTTAGTCCCCCTACTGCCGTGTCATCGGCAGCTCGAGCTCTCTATTCTGTGGTGTGGCAGTACGTGACAGCACCTACAGTGGCTACTTCCTCAGGCTGAAATGACAGTTAGAGCACAGTTAGAGCAGGAGTTTTGAGGGGAACTGGAGTGATGTGGAAAAACTCTATTTGACACAAACCCTTTGTATCATGGTGGTCTACCCACTGGTTCTTAAAGTGTGGTTTGGGAAAACCCAGTGGTTGGCCACGAGACTGTCCTCCAAGTGTTTGTAGGCTGGCTGTTCCAGTCTGAGGCGTGGCATGTATACTTCTCTGTCGCCACTAGGAGTGACAGAAGCATTTGCCACTAGTAGGGCATCTGTTTATGCCAGACAAGCTTTGCCAAGCACTTTATGGTGTTTCTCATTTAAACTTTCTGGATCAAGCCAGACAAGGTAGACTAAGTCCTTATTTAAAGTTGAGGAAACTGAGTCTCAAAAGGTTAAGTGAAGTGGCTTATGCACGTGGTCAGCCTTGTGATGACCCTTCTGTTGTTCTGCCATCAGTCCAAGTTCTTTGTAATATAAATCACCGACACCACATCAAAAGAGAGTTGTTCTGTTTTAGAAAAATTTATTCTAGGAGAGAGAAAGAAGGCGAGTAGGGGCAGGCATCCCCACAGGAGCTCTGTGCCATGGTCCACTCCATCCTCAGCTAGCCAGGATTGCGGGCATGTACCTGGGGGACCTCAGGACATGAACCTGGGACCTTGCCATAAGTCTTCAGCAATGCAGGGCATTCCCATATCGCCAGAACAGAATTCTTGACCTCTGAGAGTGTGTTCTATGTTGTCCAGGGCAGACATACACATGGAGCGTTCTTTTGGTGATTAATGGTCAAATAGGAGACTCTCCTGGGCTTGGCTCTGCCCCTGTGACTGGTCGGAAACCCTAATAAGTAGAAGATAATAATTACAAGTACCTTCTTTTGAGCTCTTGTAGGCTCAGTGTACCATAAACTATGCTGGGTGATTTCCATAGATTATTAGATTTCATTATTATTATTCTTATCTGTAATAAGGAGAGAAAAACTACTAGAAGTTTTCGAATTATGCTACATAGTTAAGTAGAAGAGATGGAATTTCTTTGATTGCTCTTTTTAAATTTGCTAGGGGGCACATGCACTCTCCAGAGAGAGACAGACAGAGAGAGAGACGGGGAGGGGAAGAAAGCACACTGCAGCAGGGTGTGCTCCTTCTTCTCCCCCCCCCCCCCATCCTGCAGGGACTCTGAGCACACGCGCACATGTGCCTGGTGTGTTTCTCAGGCCACCGAGTCTGGGCCTTCAGCTGCACAGTAGGTCACGTGGAGTCCAGCTGCTTGAACCACGAGGCCACAGGCCACGGGAAGATGGGATTTAAAAAAAAAAAGTATTCATTTATTTTATTTAATTCCATTTGTTTTTATTTTTTAATTTGACGAGAGACAGAGTAAGAGAGAGAGAGGGAAAGCAAGAAAGCAAGCTGCCAGGCCCAGGACTCAAACCACAGTTGACCATGTAGGAATCCAGTGCCCTTAATCACCACACCACCCGCCACCTGCCAGCCTGGAAGATCGGGTTTTAACTGAAGTCTGTGTAGTGTAGGCTCAGCATGGTGGTTTGTTGTCACTTTCAGAGTAAAAAATTAAAGACACACGGGAGAAAGGCATTGTTTTCATGCCTGCCGAATTTCACTGCGGTCCTCTCTCCCTCCTAAGCTGTGAGTATCCTTATCCTTGACTATTAGGAGAAGAAAGGATGGGAGTTAATACAAGATCAGCTGGCCTCGTTTCAGCCCGGTCACAGGAAAGACGGTGCTTCAAAGGGCTTTCAGCATATTGCCCACAGATAAGCTGGAACGCCGAGTGGGTGTTCTTGTCCCGCCTCCCTCCCCGTCGCCCACGCTCTGCTTCAGCGTCTCTGCGTTTGTCCTCGTCTGTAACAAGGTTGCCAGTTCACCGCAGCGTTTTCTGTTGTTTCCCCTCCTCCTTCTGCCTTGACAGCTCGGTTCACGTGCTGGCTCCTGTAACCCGTCCGTTCTCAGATCTGGCCCTGACAAGCAGAAAAGAAATGCTTGTCTGTGAACTCGCCCTTCCACATGGAACCACCAGAAAATTGGCTAACTGTTAAGGAAAAGTGGAGAACCTGGCTTAGTGTGGCCAACTCCTATCTCTCAGGAAATGGGGATGTAAGGAATTAAGTCTGGAGAGAATAAATACACATTCTTAGCTTTCTGCAAAGGTTCATCTCTCCTGGGTGTTCCTGCCACACAGAGAGGCTTACGGGACCTCTAATTAGAGAAGTCCCTGGAAAACCTGGGGCCCAGTCACAGAAGATGCAGCCGTCTTCTCCTTTGCTCTCTGGAGTTGCAGTTACTAGTCACTGTTATTTTACCGTTGCTGACGCTGGGCTCGCTGCTCGGTTCTGTGCTGTGGTGATTTCATCTAACCCTTAACATTGTCAGAAGTGAGATCCTCACTCCAACGCTCACGCTCTTCTCATCCTGTGGCCACCAGTGCCCACTGCTGCCCTCCCGGTGTGGCGGCAGCCCTGTCCGAGCTCTGCCGTTCTGAGCTTGGGCTGTCTTCTCTGCCACTCAGGGCGGTGACAGGGCTGTCTACACCACAGCATTGTCCTCTCTCTGCACTGCATTGAAGTCTTTGAAGCACTCCTCTTGGAACAGACCACTGGGAAAATGGTGGTGTGTTGTCTCACACCTTTTAATAAACCACATTTTATTCAGGGAAAGTGGGGAGCTTTTTTGTGGTTTACAAACTTGATATTAACATTGTCCTTACCAGAGAATGTCGACACTTGCCCACCCACCCAGTTGTGTTTAGGCTTCTAAAAATAATGTTATTCCTCTATACTCAGACATCTGTTTTCACTCTATTGCCAATTTAAATGCCGCTGTATACTTTGTGTATCGTGGCCACTTTCCCAGTATTTTGAAGATTTGCGCAGGGTAAGGGGGTTTTACAAGTTCTCAAAAACATGAACTATCCCTACAGTAGTCACCCCAGGTGACGGCCCAGTGCAGGGGCGGTGCCGCACAGGTAACGGCTGCACCTGCGGTGCCCCTCCTGCTGCTGACCTCCACCGGAAGGCCGAGCCCCGCTTGGGAGTGGAGGAGGGCCCGGTCTGTCACGGTAGATATCAGTGTGGACTGAGAC